AGATATAGTTATATCTACCCATACAGGATACAACATAGAGTCACCACATGGGTAACTAGCATTAGGAAACATGACCATTTCACACTGTCACTTTAACTGCAAGTGCTCCCAAGAGCTTGTTTTGCTAGACATCCAACTGCAAGACTGCTTCCTGAAATTACTTTTGAAAAAAAATGTTTATACAAAGCCATTGCTTATGTGTATTAAAAGCACAATACAGGGGTCTTCCAAAACAGGCAGCTTTCTCTCTAGGATCATCTGTGTTCGTTCAAAGTATGCAAACTTTGACACCTTCCTACTGTCAACATGAACAGGCCTATTGTCCAAGGAAGATGTGCATTTCAGATTTCTCTCATGTGTCCTCAGGTTTCAGCCACTGAGACGCCTCACAATACAGACAGCTAAGACAGCTAATGGATCACATATTGTAGGTCTGGTACTGGCTAGAAATGGACAGTGTTCCTGTACCAACAGCAGAACAGAAGCTGGCGAAGTTAGATATCCCAGTGCGTTCTCAAATGCTGGGAAGTATCCATATTAGAGGCAAAATTATATTCTCCAGTTGTCAGCACTGGATAAGAAAGGAAAAGGTGAAGGCAGATGGAAGGCACAGAAGGGCTGAGTGCCTTGCTTCTGAAAGCAAGAAAGGAGGTGAGGAGGTGGGGGCAGCAGTTAGGACACAATGTTAAATACTAAAAGAGGAAAAAAAGAAATCGAAAGGATCCATACACATTAAATCATCAGGCATCAACACGTTCAGCCACATTACTTAACATTCTTTCTTCAAAGCCTTATGAATTCCAGAAAATTTTTACATTAGGTGCAATTTTTAAGATTCATATTATGTTCAGTCCTAAATTCTAAGTACAAAAATCTGTTTATACAATTCTACATAGTACAAAGGCAAAACTGTATGATGAATCTAGCATTAACATAAAGTTTTAATTCTGTATACCTTACAAAGTATTTTAAGGTTTTGCTGCATCATCTCTAAAAACAAGGAGACAGGCATAAGTATGTATTCCCTTTTATATGAATATGTGTGATATATGGGTATAACATATAAAACACCACCACCACCACCTCCCAGTCAACAAGCAGTGTTGATCAGAATGAAAATAAACTCACCACTCAGAATTAGGAGGGAAGAAACTGTCCCAAAATCTCAAGTTTACCTTTTCCTGTTTTGTCTTAACTGTACTTTAAAAAGTCTTCATAATTTAAAGCTTTATAATTTAAAAGTGGCATTCACATAGGTACTCAAATGAAAATTCCCCAAACATCAACAGTTACAGAAACAAAAAAAAAAAAAAAAAACAAAAAACAAACATTATCTAATACCAGCAGCAACTGTACTTAGGTTACTATGCCACATAATCCCAGGAAGGTGTTTGTTACTGCATGATCTAGTGAAGTTCCTTTGGATCATTACATACTGATCAGACAATGTCTCTTCCAGCATAAACTTCCTCTCTTACCTTTCTAAATCATCATTTCAATAGGGAGCCTATCTGACCTGCTTTTTTATACACAAAAATATAATTAAAAATTAAATTATAGTACTAAGCCAATTAATTTCTAACCATTACTTCCTGCAACAGCAATATTACTAATTAAAATGAGCATATTAAAGTCACTTTTTCAATAAAAATTTAAAAGATATTCCATTAAAAAAAAAAAAAGGCAGAACAGAAACAAAGGATTTCAAAAGAAAACATGTAAACAATAAAATGATTTATGGTGCCTTCAAAATAACTACAGATTTAAGTTAGAAGAATAGATGTCAGTTGCCAAAAGAAAAAAAGAGTCTATTCCAAAAAGAAGGATCACACCACATGAACTATAGTGTTCATTAAAAAAACTTGGTCTGTTCAACTTTCAGAAACGGTTGATGATCTGAAAAAATGTGTATAATTGCACCTAGAATTTTCCAGCAACTTCAAATGTATTACTTCAAATGTGACTGTGTGGTCAATAAAAAAAAAAAAAAAAACAGCAGAGGAAAACCATGATCCAGTTCTTAGTGAATCATCAGTAACAGCTGTCTATAGATACACCAAATATCAGAAGTATTATCAGCTAAACAATCTGACCAAAGAATTAAGGTTCTACCTGGAGCATTAGAACCAAGGCACTGTTTTCCCCTTCTCAAAGTACATGTTCCCTCTCAGATCTGCAAACAAAAGATCACCTACTAAACAGCTGGAAGAGGGTAGATTTAGATTAGAGAATATGAAGAAATTCTTCACCATGAGGGTGGTGAGGCACTGGCACAGGTTGCCCAGAGAAGCTGTGTCTGCCCCATCCCTGGCAGTGCCCAAGGTCAGGCTGGATAGGGCTTGGAGCAACCTGGTGTAGTGGAAGGTGTCCCTGCCCATGACAGGGGGGTTGAAGCAAGATGATCGTTAAGGCCCCTTCCAACCCAAACCATTCTATGGTTCTATGGTGAAACAGGAGTATCCATTTCACTATTGATGGGGTTTCCCTGTATTACAAAAGGCAGCTTGGTAGTCTTAAAATGCAACATTTACTCTACAACACATTGCCATGGGGCTGCAGCAAAATTTTAGGTTTATAGAATTAAAATGACAACTACCTCCACATTCGAGTCAAAACCACGTATTTCTTTCTAGCGCTATATGTCTTCGAAACATGTTGTAAATCACGTTCAGGGAAGAGGTGAGGTGTAAAAGTTAAGATGAATACATATGACTGAGATCAAAAAAAGTGTAAAAAAGACTGACATACGTCAAATGAGATATCAAAATACACTTGATATATCAAAAATATCACAAATCATACACTTGTACCTGTTTTCTTCCTGTGTAAATGAGCAAGGAATTAAAAGGGTAACATTGCATTTATGCAACTTTATAGTTGCAACACTGCACATTAGTCAAGAAAACTAAAATTACACTTCCCACAGCAATTTTAACTCAGCTGCATTTTCTATGTGAAGAAGTTGAATTACAGGATGTTATTCTGCCTCTTAAATATTACAAACACTGAAGCAAAAAAAATAACTCTAATTTTACCAGCTTGTATGAATTCAAGATCTCAAAGAGACCATTGCATTAAATGTCCAAACAACTCTATAATACTAGTTAATAGCAATTCATCTACTCTATTTATGAATCTACTGCTGCCCCTTTCCTGCCTCTAGTTGTAGTAACATATGGAAACAACATTAAGAATATGAAAATGCAACACACATCATTTAATCTTGATTTTTTGGAAACTAGTTTTATTTAAATGAAACACAGAACTTAACTTTTCTTTTTTACGCAACCGTAAATGGCGCAATGTTCCATTGCCACCTGTTAGTTAAATGCTAACACTACACCAAAAACTTGGAATTCTGCTCCCCCCAATTAGGAACAGTGATTATATGTTAATCTGTTTATTTAATTGTCAGTTCATTAGTAAATGTAAGGGTGCATGAAATAATGCATGCTAATGTAAAAAGCAGTTAGAACCATCTTATGAGGCATTTGTTTTACAACTCAAATATTAACATATAAATTTCATTTAAGAGGAATTAAGTCAATGCACACCTACAGCATAGGATACCAGAATCAGTTCAGCTGCAATTCTTATCCTGAGAATTCCCAAAGCTACGCCAGTCACTGCTATAGTCTGCTTTTGAGCTTTTCAAGTCGATAGCATTAATAACCAGCTGTTTCTACTGGAAAAAGAAATGCTAGCAAGACAGACATCTGTACTGTGTAGCTGCCAGATATACTCTGTGTGGCCACACGTGTTGACCCCAGTGTTGTAGGAGCCAAAGGAGAAAGACAAAAGGATTTGGCATTAAAAACTGTGCTAAGAAAAGGTATCCAATATTCAAATTTCATGAAGAGTAATTTTGACTGTCAGCTCTTGGAAGCATAACTCAGTTTCTTCTCTGATTTGATTCTGGCTATATCCAGAAGACAACAAGAGGAAGTACACGAGTTTTTCTAGAAAGTGAGTTATGACCCTTTCGTTGCCATTCTTGAAAACTGTAGTACCTGAATCAAAGAAGTATGATACAGGCTGACTGATCCTTGAAAGCCTCAGTAACATATCCGCTACTTAAATACTTCCACTTGAAGAGCATCATGAAAGTAGTAAAAAATAATATCCATTAATTCTACTGTCAAGAGTTTATGATGATCATTAACTTTAGCCAGTATGATGTTCCATGAATCAGAATGTTTTTAAGCAAAACTCATTTTTATAATATAGCTAAGCAAACACTTCTTTCACCAAGTAGGATGTTACACACATAAGATTAAAATATAGATGATCACAAATTCTAGGAAGTACAGCATCCAGGAATTCAATGCAAATTATCATAGCAACCCTTAAGTACAAATGGGAAACAATGAGTAGCTACATAAAAAACCCCAACCATTCACAGCTGCAAAAAAACTAAGTGAAGCTGAATTACCAACAAGAAACTTTTTAAACATTGTCACTCCTGCTATAACAGTGGATGAAGACAGAAAACTTCAATGAAAAATTTGTCTTGTATGTAGGACTTCAAATGTATTCACTGAACAACACTGGGGTTTGTAATGGAAGCAGTTTTAATTCCACTGTCTAGCACCTAGTTACACTTTACAGTGTATTATGCAACACAAACTATTCCATATTTGAGTCAGCTAATATTTTACAACTGCTTAGTTATAGCTATATATAACATTGCTGCACTAGAACATGCTCAGTCATACTGTTAAACACACATCTCCTGTGCAAAGTGGTTTTTTCATCTGTTATGCAAAATAGATCATAATAAAGATGAGTGAACTGAGTTACAATAATGTACTTACGGGTGGGCTGTTAAACCTCTGTTCCTGCTAATATCAAATGTCAGCCTCTGATCTAAAGACCTTAGAAATTCTTTAAATAGAAAAGGCTTTGGAGCAGACCTGTAGATACTTAGAGTATTTGTTGGACATAAATATTTTATACAAAACCTTCCTGAAAAAAGTAATATACTACAAGAAACAAATTACCTGGAGTGTCTTGTAGTGATCTTGATGCAAAATTACTTTTTCTTTTTTTTCCTTCAAGAAATCCATTTCTAGAATACTGTGTTTTTCCAATAAATGTTCTAATTCCTATAAAGTTTACAAAATAAAATATGGGAAGTTACAAACACTTGTGAATTGTGAGAATCTGTTAATCATTCCAACTAATTTCATTTCTGAAGACTATAGTATTGTTATCATAATATACACAGAGATAAAGGGTTGTGGAAGAAAACTCTGCAGGTTTTAAATGGAGGCAATATTTTCAAGAAGTACGAAGTATTCAAAAATCAAAGGCACATCCTATAAGAAGCAGCTGAGGTCACTGTCTATTTGTCTAGTTTGGAGAAAAAGAGATTGTAGGCTGGCCTCATTGTTCTCTGCAGCTTCCTGAGGAAGGGAAGTGGAGAGAGAACTGCTGGTCTCTTCTCCCCGGGATCCAGTGCCAGGACACAGGGGCATGGTTCAAAGCTGTGACAGGGGAGGTTCAGACATGACATTAGGAAGCATTTCTTTACTAAGAGGGTGGTCAAAAACAGGAACAGGATTCCTAGAGAGGTGATCAATGCCCTAAGCCTGTCAGTGTTTAAGAGGCATTTGGACAATGCACTTAATACCATGCTTTAACTTTCAGTCAGCACTAAAGTGCTCAGTTGGATCAGATGATTGTTGTAGGCCCCTACCAGCTGGAACTATTCTGTTCTAATTATTTCAATATTTTTAATCACTTGTTCCGTCTTTCTGCATTTGAAGAACAGCATATTAATGTACTGTTAGCAAATGGTTCACTAGAAAGGCAGAAATCCCATTACGTACAGCCCTAATGATCTCTACCAACATCTCCAAATGATAATAATTTCAAAATACTCTGTCATCTTGCAGAAAGCCAGTCTAGAAGCCTGCCCACCATGAACCAAGAGAGGAAGAAGAATGACACTGACAACAAACTTCAAAATTTTTTGGTATACAAAGAGCAAAAGATTTTTATTTTTTCTTAATGCAGCTGTTCTCCTACCAAACTGATTCTTACTATACATAAGCTGTTGGCACCCTTTCAGTTGCTCAAGAACAAGTACTTCTGCAGCCATGCAGGAAGCCAGTTTAGAAACAAATGACCTGCCAGATCACTGTACAGCTATTCAAAGTAACAACTGAGAGGGTCGTAAGGAAGACAGAAAGAGCAGGTGTACTTAGCTATCCTGCTTCTCAGCAAAACAATAAAAACAGTTCTAGAGATTAGAAGCCTTTGATTCTACTGCAGAGACAAAAACTGATGGTCAACACTTCAATTCAGAGCCTAGCTCTCAACCTATGTCCTCTTATTGTCTATTCATGCTTCCATTCCAGCCCTTCTCTATACACTTAATTCCTAGTAAAATCAATCCATTCCAGACCTCCTCATCGACTTGTTACTCATCCTCATTGTTATTTCCTTGATAGCTATCAAGGAGCCGTATTTAGAACCGCAGAGATTAAACTTACTGTCCAATGCCTCAGTGACCTTTGATTAACTTGGACACATAACTACAGACATAGCCCTCTCTAGTACTCTTATTGTATTCATGTCATAGGGAATATGAAGTATTTCTTTACCAAAGCTCCCAGGAAAGAAAATTAAAAAAATGAAAAAAAAAGAAAAAAGTGTACTGTGTTATGTTCATAAGGATAAGCAAAGACACTTTGAACTTCAGTGACCATACATTCCCAAAACATGGGGAATCACTATACCTTCTAACCACTTGTCTCCATGCTAAGAAAATGTGTCCTTTTTTTCTTTCTTTCTTTCCCCTCCAGAAGAAGTTTCTAAATGAGAACCTGACACTTCAGAAAATTTCAGCCTAAAATAGACACCAGATATGGGAGGAGGAAAGGGAGGGGATAGTATTTTGGCTAATTTTGGATGATTTCTCTGGAACTGGGTTAATTTCTATAAAAAATACATTGTAAGTCTCTACCAGCTACATATATGTTTAAATCCTATATAAATGCCAAACATTTTTTATGGGGAAAAAAAAAAAAAAAACCAAAACCAAAAACCAAAAACCTGTTCATACCTTTTTCATTTTTAATTTTTCTTCTTCAGCAGTGCAAAGCTTGATTTCTAGGTTTGCAACAGCTTGTTGAAGGTAGCTCTTTGGTTCATTTGTTCTCTGTGTCTCAGCATCAACCAAAGCAATGGTTGATGTAACTAAAGTTTTGTCTTCAATTACATTCAAAGAGGCAACTGGAATATCTGCTTGAATCTAATTCACATAAGAAAAAAAAAAAAGGGTAAAAGAAATTTAACATTCCAGTCAAGTCAAATTTCATTCCCAGATGATATTACAGAACTTAAAAACTGCAAATACTAAGGTTACTTTTTTGAAACCACACTTCTCTGAAATTGGCCATACACACTCTTGTACGTAGGATGTGGTGGCCAAAAAGAAAGCTCCAACACTTGCACAGTAGCTAGTAATAATTCTAGATGGATTCACATCCATCCTTCTGATAACCTCCACTGCTTTTCAAGCAGACTGTAGGAGAAGGCTTTAAGAAGAAGCATGGCACAGATACCTCACTTTCCAATGAGGTCAAAATACTCAAAAGAGATGAAAAGAGACAGAGCAAAACTGAATCACGTGCCCAAAGCATCAGGCTTACAGGGAAATAAACTCCCCTTGGATTAGTTACTCCATGTTTTCACCCAGTGCAGACTGCAAACAGTAGTCATAGAAAGGGAATAGAAACTTTTTGTGCTAAAATAAATCTCATTTTGAAGCTAGACCAACAGAATAAGAATAACTGGGACATAGCTACCACATTTATTTAATGCTATTTCAGTGAACTGTAAAAGTACTAAAACTGAAATGGAGGCTTCTAGAACACACAACACAAAACAGATGAAACACTGGTAATAAGCCCATATTTTCTGCAAAGTGCAAAAATAAATGAAGTGATGTTTAAAATATTTTTGTGGTATAATTAACAAAAACGAAAGCTTCCCCTCCCCCCTCCCCCCCTAAAAAGAAGGGAGAACAGGGAACAAAAATTGTTTTATATCACAGCAAAGGAACTTCAAAGGAACAAACTTGTAAATAAATTTCAGCTACCACTTTTTTAGCAGCAATTTGAAAACCGAAAGCATTTGAGATTTGAAGAGTGGTGCTGAAAGGAATATCTCAATGTATTTATTAAAAGAGGTTTGACTCAATTACCTTAACACCTTTTATTTCAAACACACACTCAAATAATAGATTGGATAAAACCCAAACAAGAATAGCTGAGATCTTGACTGTACATGGATACACAGGATCCATCAGGAAAAAACAACCAGAAAGAAAACTGCAGTTTCTACTCTGAATTCCCACTCAGAAAGTAAGAAGCAAAGAAGCTAATTCTAATAGATATGCTAATTCTAATAGATACCCTAATTCTACTTTGGAGAACTACTGAAGATCAGAGTCTGGCACTGCCAAAACCTGTGATGTTTGAACCTGAAACATTGATGTTTTTTATAACATGAAACCTCAAGAGGCTCTGGAGATACTATTATAGAAGAACACAGCTCTATCATCCCCCTGTAACAGGTTTAAGTATTTTTTTATAATTTTACATCCACCATTGTTCTTCAGTTTATCCAAAAATGGAAAGTGTGATCTCTATTTTAAAATAATGTTCAAGGACCTCCTCTCAATTCCCTTTATCTCCTGCACTAAGAAGAGAGTTTATGGAATTATGGGTCTGTCAGCATCTGACCAGAACAAGATGAGAAAAACTGAAACATGGCCTATAACTAGAATTTTCCCATATACTTATTTAGAAGTAACAAAGTGTATTTCTAGTAAGATTACCTAACCAAATCATTTTTAGTTTTAAAAAAATACACCTAGGCCTTAGTATTCTAGAATATCCAAAGTGCTCTTTTCAGAGAACACACAAGCTAAAGTAGCTGGCCTAGCGCAAACAAGAAAGGGTACAGGTTATTCACATTTCACTGTTAGCCAAAATCAAAAAGGATAGGATCTGTTGTAGCTGAAGAAAAGCATATTTTGATCATCCTGACAGTAATAGAAATTTACTCATCAAAACATTGTCAGAAAGGCAGATGAAGAGTTTCAACACAGAAAATGACCCTGACTGGCATCAGTCAAGAAAGAAAATGAACACTCCCTCCCTCTCAAGAGAAAAACAACCCAGCTTTTGGATTTCTAAGAAATTTTCTCTGGTATCATTTGCATCTGGGCACATGTTGTCTTCACCTTTTACAGGCTTTCCCCAGAACATTAGGGTGAGAACAGATACAAAACAGTAGCTGACTCATTATTAAGACTGAACTATTGGAGCTGTACTAGCCACAGTCTTTCTGGAGGTGTGAACGTACAGATGCTGATCAAAGAAAAACAGTAAGAGTCAGTTCAACCAAAAGAAGTATTTTTACAAGTTTTTTTAAATAGCACTAGGTAAATGCTTTTAAATGGTCAGATTATGGAAATCGGACTTAATTGTGAAGCATAAGGAACCAAGTAAGTGCTGAAAATGGGAGGGTTGCATACTGCCAAAAATATTGATTGGTTCAGAGAAAGAGAAGAGCACTTTCTAATTCAAGTATATACTACTATGAGTCCTGAAACAAGGAACTTCACAATCAATAAACATGTTTAAATAGGTGTGACTGCAATGAGTGGCAATAAAAATTCACTTAGGAGGGTAATCTATTTAATTCTCATCCATGGCAATCTAGCTTTTGTGTGCTGATCTCCACACAAATTATTTTCCCCCCCTTGCTCATCTATTTAGTTAAAAATAAAACACTTTCACCCCCACCAAAGAAGCTAAGATCAGTTCTCAGCAGTATTGCAGCCACTAAGAGAGATCAAGCTCACATAACTAGGACTCTGTCAGATCACAAAAAAAACTTTAGAAGTAATGGGGGGGAAGAAGTAAAATATAGTAACAAAAATAAAATCAATTTCATAATAAGTAAAGATTAAATGTTGATTCTTTAATCCTAAAACCACTTCAGAAAACATACAAGTATGACATATATGTACAGCCATAATCATTACAGCTTTAACAGTAACAAAGTCCTTTTAGAGAACTTTCCTGATACTGTTTCCTGCTTTCATGCCTAGCATTATCAGCATGCTTTTAACTTTTAGTAACTCTAACACACTTTCCTCTTGCAGTCGGTACCAAAGTACTACGGTGTTTCCCAGTTACAGGATTTAAACATAATTTAAAAATTATTTTACTTCAAAGTCTGTACTACAGAACTCCAAGGACCTTTGGCTCTTTAAGGGCAACTCTTGCACAGAAAAGATACAATGCTAAGATATTTAATACATTGTGTTCCCCTACTGAAACACAAAAATTGTGGGTTTACCAGTTCTTCAGGAACAGCAGGGTTTGCAACATTGGTGGCTGTTTGAATAGTTGTTGCCACGTTATCACTTGATAAACTGAATGAGTCAGAAAGAACCAGGCAGGAAGATGGCACAGAGTATTCCAGAAGAACGTCAGGAGATATATGGACTTCAGATACTAATGCAAGAAATAAAAACAGAACACAGAACACAATACAAAGAAGCATTAAAAAAAATACAGTTCTGGCTCTGAAATCTAGCAAAATCCATTACACTAGCAAAAAGTATAGTCAACATAAGGTTACGTACCTCTTACAATCTAATTGCACTGAAGGACAGTTCCATACAAAGTTCATGTATTTTTGAGTACTATCAACTTAAGGACCTTTAAAACTGGACAGTCACACTAAATTTAGACTTGTAACTTACACAGAAGTGTGACAACTGCCATCAAAAGCAGCAGTTTTAACTTTTGTCTTTTTGCATTTACATAATCTTTCAGCTTCAGCATAATCTTTAATCAGCTAAAGTCAACTGTAAAACAGTACTTAAGATTTCCTAAGTTTTGAAATTTTAAAGGTAACAAATCTCAACCGTCTTTGAAGACACATACAAACAGCTTACCAAGACACATGATAAAAGCAGGTTTACATTTTGTAAGATATCAAAAGATAAAGTAAATAACTCTCTAGCCAATAAAACTTAAGTGTAATTAATACTGAAGTGAGTGCTCTTCCATAGAAATTTCCAGTTATGCCATAAAAATCCTGAACAGTGGATCATCATTATCAACTTGGCACAACAGAAACTTGAGCACCATTATGAAAGATTCAGACATAAAAATATATAAAAAGAATGGAGAAAAGAAAGCTTTGCACACATTTTTAATTTAACAGCAAAGTCCTGCAAACTTTTATATAGGTGCAGGTATTGTCTTTGCAGTAGACAAAAAGGTATGTCCAATTGCTCTGAAAAACCAGCTCACATTATGGTTACAAATCTGGTAAAATGTAAGAGATTCCACTAGCCTGAAGCAAGGCTCAGCCTCTTGATATCACTTTAATACTGCACAAGAGTGCATAGCACAGTGCAAACAAGTGTATATGTTGGCCTAGAGGCACTCAAAATGCCTCTAATCCCACACTAATCCTTGAATCCAGATGCTCCGAATCCCATCTTCATCTCCCAGTTCTGGGATTCAGAGAGGAACACACAAACCTCATCTAACAAAAAGAATAAAGAAAATAGACCACAACACAGAAAAATAATCAGTATGCTAATTGCAGCAGTAGTAGATTTGAACATGTGGTGAGGAAAAAAGCCAGCTGAGCAGAATCTGGATACTTGGGTGAACAGAACAGGAATCAATTTAGGTAACCAGGACAAAAACAAAAGATGGTGACACAACTATATCTTTAACAGTAAACTCTTCTCCAGAACTGGAAATGGGACTTTTTAGGCTGTGTTCCCCTCCCCTGGCTTACAAACCAGCTTCCTATAACCATTACCTACTCTGATAGTTCAAATGACAGTGAGATGATAGAGAAGATGACCTTTTTGCTTCTAAAACCACCAGTTAAGTTTCTGTTTTATGCTATCACTTAATAGCCTGAATTTTAGTTTGAAATCAATTTCCAACAGATGGAAAACCAACTACAATAATGTACCAGGTAATTCTGACTGAGCAGACAAGCTGTTTCTCTTCCTAAAACTGTCAACTCACACAGAAAAATCTAACATGACACTGATCTTTGTGGTGTTAGCATTCATCCTTTGGTGATGATTACCATAGCATAGTTCACATTCAAATAATTTATCACAGAAGTAAACCCAGAAACTGAGTCTGGATACAGATGAGGAAGAGAGACTCACAGAGATTAAAGCTTAAGGTATTCACATATTCTGGGGTATCCATACTAGATATAAGACTTTATTTTTCAACTGATACAGTTTTATGTGGATCCTTCTATAATCAGATCAAGTTTTCAGTGATTCCAGTTATTGTAATGAATGCTTCACATTTTGAGGGGGGAAAAAAAGCAGAAACACAAAACCCACCTCTGAAGTTGTCAAAATAAAGTCCAGGAAATGAGGAGCAACAATTGGCGACCACCTCTGAATACCATGGTTTAAAATTATTCAGCTAAATACATGAATTTGCAGAAGACAAGAAAAGGCGGCAATTCTCCAAAGTATCATTCAAACATCTTTTTTTACAAAACCTTCTTTTCACTTTCAGCAGTGTTGAGGATTCATAAATTAGACATTCCTAGAATTACATGTAATTCTACATCTGTAATTCAAGCTCACTTAATTCATTCCTCTTGTGTATATACTGGTGAAATTGCATTAGCATTTTAGTTCAGCTCGTAATTTGGTTATGAAGATGACCCATCAATCATTTCCTGCTTGCCATGCTTTAGTTATCATAATGGAACAGTTTCAGAACTCCGGAAACAAAATCTTGCCTCTGATAAAACTGACTGGATTCCAACAGCTAATGGACATTCAAGTCCACAACACCAAGGTAATACTAGCCTGACATAAAACTCCTGAAACACATGTAGTATGGATATTGGCTTCTCAGCACCACTTACAAATCCTCTCCAACTGCTGCACCATCTACTATGATACATGGTCATTCTGATAATAACAAACATTCTTCCATAGTATCCCATCCTGATGCAGTGTATCTTCTCTAACTTCTTCAGAAACCAATGTAGGAGTCTGATAGTCCTAATGAAATTCTAAGAAGAAAAGCAGCACGTACTCAATTACAAGCTTATCAGAAGTCATATGCCCAAGAAAGCTGAAATAAGATGCAGATATAAGTTATTGCCAGAATTGTACTTTAAAAAAAAAAAAATCTGATAATTTACAAACTCTTGATTTCCCAGTATTAAGAATATTCTGTGATAGGTTTGTATGTAAGAACTAACCAAACTAATAGAAGAGATCAGTAACAGCCTGCAATCTTGCTCACGCAAGAAAAATTCTGTATCTTTATCCTAGTAATGCAAACTCAAACAACTATAAAAATCACGAGGGATCAGAAATTCTGAAAACAAAACAAAGATGAACATGAACTATTGGATCACATTCCATACTTCGTACTGAGCTTCAGAATGAAGACATTAGATATGAATAAGTCTGAACTGAACAAATAAACAAGAGTAACATTTACTAATTGGATGTTATTTATATCCAGTAATTAACAGATGATATGTCATCAGAGCTCTGAGCAACAGACCATAAAATAATTCTTTCACATACTTTTGTAGAACATTGCAAACTACTTCTAGTATACTTATCCCAGTTTGCAGGTTTCAGCTGTTAAAAATAAAAAACCACAAGAAACAAAAACTGTATTTCCATCCTCAACTACCCATGTCTTTGATGATAGAATTCAATGACCCTTTAAATTATACTGTATAAACTGTAAACTGTACCACTGAACATTTTCAGTTAAAACTAACATTCATACAGACTGGGTTTATGTATCCAAATTTCACTGATATGCTTATATCCCAGACCCACACAGTTGCTCAAGCACAACTGTAAGAGACAGAAAACTGTGTTCTACATGGCAGGAATTTCTGTCAACTGTAATGTCAGAGCTACAATATAGGGATCTACAGCCTTCATAATGCTGAATAAACAGCTTAGGTAAAATAAACCGAAAATTACTGGTTTTACAAACATCAACCAATTTACTTTGCCAATACAGAGCAAACTAGCACAAAACAGAATGTCACATGCATTCTAAAATACTTAAGTAATACTAAGTAAAATTAACCATTAATCACTGAAATCAGTGAAAAACAACTTTATGAAGGAAAAGCAGCAGAATCTGTTAAAAAAAGATAATTCTTCTTTTACTGTGAAACAAAAATAATCAACTAATAAATTTAATACCAAATAGACAAAGTATTTCCTATATTTACACTGCTTTTAGCTCAACATAAATTGAGAACTACTAGAAAGGGTTAAATTACTTGAAGAATGAGTAGAGGGATACATTAATAGATACCAACTGACACCCAATATGCCAATAATCAATGCTGTGTCTCAGATGGCATGCATAGTATTCTGCAAAGCTGTAGGAGTTTTGGTAGTTTTCTTAATTTTCCCTTTTTTCCCCTTTAGCAAATTTCCCAATTTTTCACTTTCCAAAACCAACACTTTCAATCACTGTATTTGCAGATCATCGATTCAACAGAATGAGGTGCATCTCCACATCTGTTATGGCATTAGAATCAACAAGTAAATGTCTACATAACGTGATAACAGTTTCTCTGTTGACTCCAATAAGCATGAATGCCCTCCTACCAACAGGAAACACTTGGCTGCTTCTTTACACATACCAGTTTACATCAACATATAGAGAGGAAGGCAAAACTTTGAATGTACTTTCAAGATGATTTGTTATAGTTCACAGCAGAAAGCTCTTCCCCACATTTTAGTCTTCTGAAGCCAAACTGTTCCAGAAAAGAAGTAATTACATACACTATTTCAGCATCTTAAATCTAAGGCCATATGGAAATACTAATTTCCTAACTTCTTATTTAAGTAGAACTCACATACAGTTACCAAAATTTTACAACACTGCAACCATCTAGTTGAAACTCAGAAAAAAAATCTTTCAGTATTCAATGGCTACACAAGAAAACTGAGAACTCATTCTCATCAGTTTTGTTTTGTTAGTCTATGAGTCTAAATAGCAAAACCCCCTGAAAAGTGTCTTACAATAAAACCCCAAGAGTTTTCTGGCCAGACATAATAATTAATACAGACAGCCTCTTTGAATTCTTCTGGTAACCAGATGGACCACCGATAAGATATTAGAATATTTCATAATTTATTTTAGAGCTCTTAAGAACTTAAAATTTTTGTGTTCAGTTCTGAACTGCATTTAAATCTGAGGCTTAAACATAGGGCTTAGTTCTCCATTACTGTTCTTAGAGAGATCTCATCTTTCCAAAGAGCAACTTTTATTCTCAAAGTGTTTTGTTGGTTGGCTCTTTTTCAACTTTACAAATACAAGCTAAGAAAACACTAAGTAGTTCCCTCACATCTCTCCAAAGCCCAGACAACGGGCATACAATAGTGATTCTTCTTAGTACTTTCTCATATTAAGGCTGGAAAGAAAAAAGGAAATCCATCACATATATGAAGACACTAAGTATGAAGGATTACTCATTTCTACCTCAGATAATCAGAAGGACTAGACCCAAGATAACAGCCAGTTATTTGGACTTTGCTAACAGCAGCAAAGACATATAAGTAATCCCACTACACTTGTTATTTTTCTCTCACTACTTGTTCGTTCCTCCACACTCATAATGCATACTGTCTCACAGAGCTAATGTCTTTGGACCAGCCCTACTCTCTGTTTCAATATTTATACAGCACTTGGTCTGATGGGTTCCAATTCACATTTGAAACCATGAAAGATAAAAAAAAAAAAACCCAACTTTTTTCCCACTTTTATAATTTAGAATAATACCAGAATAAAATTTTTCTATTAGGTGACACTGCTAGAGATAAGCATAATGGAAAGAGGTACATGGTTTCTCGTACTTGTCCTGGTGGAAGGGGAAAGAATGGTATAATATTTCTGCTGTACAAATTCTTATTTTTCTCCTCTTCTGAACCACCAACCACAATTAATAAACATTTCCTGATTTGAAGTGCACAGAAAAATGCACAGAAAAAAACTATTTGCACATACCAATAAACATTCTAGCATACTGTAAGCCTATTGAAAAAGTGAAATCAACCTTCAAATGGATAGCAAGAAGCTCAAGACAAAATTGAAGGGCAAAATTCCTCACTCTAATCAACACTGGGGGCTCTAGAAATATCTGATTTTTTCCTGCATGCTGAGAAATATTGCACAAGGTTACAGTGTTGTTTTATAACTTTTTACATCTTAGATACATCAAGTATGCAGGAAATTTATGACTCCATAAAGTTCACCAAATCTTGGGTATATATAATGGTATTACACTTGATAGCACCATAATACATTTGAGTTTCTTACATTTTTCATCAAACCTTACTGAAAAATTGCTAGGGTAAACCAAGAACAACTTTATATATATATATATATAAATAACATTGGGCAAACAGTTTAGTTATTTCTGTTACTAAAAGCATTAACTAACAAATCAATGCCTAACAAGCATTTTGATTGATGCTATTAATATCTTGCCCTTTGCAATAAGTTATATTCACAGCAACATTGGCATGGAAGAGTCATGTAAAGGGTTTTACATTGATAAGATATTCTGAATGCAAGGGATTTTCTTTTAAAATACCTTGGTAGAACTTACCCCAAGACCTCTGTGTCACTCACAAATCATACAAAAAACTTCCATGTTACTTCCACATCATTTAAATTGTACATACCTCATTAGATTTAAATTAGACTTCATGAGACAGGCACTGCACTGCTATATTGGATTTAATTTAAACACATTCAAATATGATAATGAATTTACAGATTTTTGAGTAATAACAGTCAAAATTACAAGATTAATATTAACGTTATTTGGGAAAATACAGTTTCCTTATTTTCACAGAATCATAGTCAACTAGGTTGGAGAATGCAGGCATCAACCCTCCTACCTCTTGCAAAATTTTGGTTTTTATTTGTTTTCTTTTATTTTAACAACAAATAAAACTATTCTGGAACAGATGAAATTCAATAGTACTAAAAACAAATAAATAAAACAATTTGAAGATTATGATTTATGGGGAGTTCATATTGACATAAACCCATCTTACTTTTAAAATTATAATTATTTTGCATAATTTATTCAGCATAATTATATAATAAGAGGCAGAAATCTTTAGTTCCTGACCAAAGAATAAAATTCCCAGAACAAAGATCAATTGGCAATCAAGTAACACCTCCTTAATCTTTCAGTTCTGCTGATACTGTAGATTTATCCATTATCAGTGAGTTTTTATTAATTTCTTAAAATCCAGACAGGCACCGGGCATTTCTATACATTAATAAAAATAGCTCCATAATGTTTCAGCTTCTGCTTGAGATAAAGGATGTATAATATATTTTCTAACTTTAAAAACTTAAAAAAAAAAAAAAGATGATCCTCCTCAAGCAACGAAATAATTATCACAAAGAAATAGAATATAGGAAGCAACAAGCCCTACTTTTAAGTTTACTTTTTGTATGTTTTCCAATCACTTGCAACAGACCTTCCACACTCAGAAGTAGGAATATTATTTGAGTGACGAAGCTCTGTTTCTTCTTCCCATGAGATATCAATTAGCCTTTGAACTGGATAAAACGTACTTCTCTTTCATTCCTCAAGAAAGTTCAGCTCTATGGAGCTTCCCAAAATAATTACTCAGGAACATTATTATGCTAGGTTTTCATCACTTCGTATTGTGTCATTGTGTATATACAATAGTAGTGCCTTCTGGGCACTAATATTTACAGTGAATACAGAAGGCTAGCAATACATTATTAAGAAATTTTGTAGTGATTTTATTAATACCTGTAGGGAATGCTGCCCAAGCAATAGCAGGGGATGTACTCTGCTTTTCACCACTTCCAAACTCATAACTCTCTGCTGCCTAGAAACACACAAAAAAAGAAAAATAAATATTTTATAAAATGATATAAATACCTTTTAAAATAGTTGAAAATAGTTACATTTAAAAATTAAGTCATCCAAATAGCATACCTCAAATCCTCCAAAGTCATCGTCATCCATTTTTCAACTGGTACCAGAATATAGCAGAAATCTTGATTAAAAAAACAAAAAGCAAAACACTCAATTGTTATATCCTATTTACTCATAAAATAGCAACAAAAACTGCAAAACCAAAGGCACGGTGTTAGTTTTAAAGAACAAAGCCAGGTAAAAGAAGTCACTGTTGTCACATCATAAAAGCCCACAAGTATGAAGTAATACAATGCTCTACACTGCAGAAATATGGCTATATTTCATTGGCCAGTCTCATAAGAGGAATGCGCTGGTATTATGATCAACTAGAAGTCAAATGACAAAGTGACTCATATTTGTTCTTCAGTTATACGAGAGATGAGTAGAGACCTTCACTTGAGTACAACTGCTACCTTGCTCATCTATGTGCTCTTCATAACTTCATCAACAACTCATTCGGAAATGAGTATTCAGTCTTTCATCCAAGTACTCCTCTCCACAGGTTACCCAAGTCTTCCTAACTTGCAAGTTGTTCAAAAGATCAAGGGACCTAAATAAAAACTTTTTCAAACAGAGGATGCAAGGGCTAGGATTGCAAGATGTCTCTTAAAAAGCAATTTTTATTGATCAACATAAATGAAGACATTGGGTGTTTTATAACAGAATTTGAATATCTTCAAGGGAAAAGATAAGCACTGCCCACCAACATTGTCAATGTCTTTTGATAGCAAAACTGTAGACACAGCTTTCCAAGATAGGAAACCAGAAAGATTGTACATTAAAAGCTGTATCTATTGCGCTCAAGTATAAAACAACCAACAAAACAAAAAACCAAACAGACAAAACAAACACACAAAGAAGTCAAGGAAGTAGGATTTCTGACCATCAGATTCCAAAATGAAGGATTTTCCTCATTAGTAATGAAGACAATCCAATTTAATGCAGTCACAGTCTACCATGTACTTCATAGTTCTGCCTTTAGGATTTAAAATATAAAAATATTTTCCATTGTTAAATTGCTTTTCCAAATTAGCACTGTGATTAAATCAAATTTCCTGCTTTTCCCATCTCTTAGCTGTCTGGCAACATCAGCACAAACTGCAACTTAGAAAAAGTCTGTGGTGAATTTCTGGAAATTCTTCTGCTACCACAGAGGTCCTTCCCTAGGTTTCATGGAGGGGCTGATTTAGATTTTACAAACTGATCAGCATTTTTGAGTTGCAGCCCTGAATTCTGTGGCCTTTTCATATATTTATAGTTAAACTGCAGTTCCTTTTACAAAAATGCAGGATAAGTTACTCAGCTAATGAAAGTAATTCAAGATATACATGGCTGTTTAAACAAAGGTATTACATGTATTTAAAAAAAAAAATAAAAATCACTCTGATATGTGAATGAAGGATGATCCAAAAAACCTTCAGGTTTTATTGAATGTGAAAATGCTTATAAATTTAATTGTCTTCAGTTAAAATAGACTATAGGCTGGAGAAACTTTTATTACTGTGAAAGCACATACTCAAAAAAAGAATCCAAACGGTTTGGAGGAAATCTCCAAATTCAAGTATTAGAATCTGAGAAGGAGACTCTTTCAGTTGATACCCACTGCTGAAAATCACTGCCAAGAAAGACTTCACTTCAATCACACATCTTTCAAAGTTTAAAAAATTAATTTCCAAGTTCTTATTGATGAATTTAGTTTATATTGCCACTATCACAGTGAAAGCAGACAGATCTGGATAAATTAAAGTATTGTCCAATATTCACATGTGGTAAAAGAGACGAATATCTTTCTTGGGACTGCAAGAGGTTTTGTTGGTTTTGTGACGTTTTATTTCTTAAGAGAGAAATAACAAAGTCAGGTATTTTTTGGTATTTATAGTATCAATGTCAATCATGACCAGTCAAACATTCATGCATTCCATTAACATTCAGCATTTTAATAAATAACTCAAAAAAATAATACATGCAACTGACAGCAATGGAAGTTGTATAGATAGAACAATGCAGACAGCAACGTGCAAATAATCGAGAAACTTAATGTATTCATGCTCCTTACTATTAAATGCCATTCATAACAAACAGCTGATTTATATACGTACTGCAAATCTCGGCATTTAAGTAGCAATCAGAGCAGTAAGTTAGAGAAAGATAAGCTTTAGAAAGGCAAATAGGTATTTTATCTATACACAATGTATCACATCAACAGCTCCTACAGACTTTACCCAAAATTACTTCAAAGTACCACAGCAGATTTTCTTCCCAAAAACCAAGAGACATTATTCCCATCATCTCAGAACTGGTTATGTCTCAGCCAGAGAAAGTATATTCCATATTCAGCACTGTGTTTTAAAAAGACAAACTGGAACAAGTTCAGAGGAGTGCAACGTGATTCTATGATTTGCTAAAATCATAGAATCAACTAGGTTGGAAAAGACCTTTAAATTAAGACTTGGGGTTTTTTTAACAAAAAAGGCAAACACTCATGAAATATGAAAAATAATGTACTAAGTGATTAACTACTTTCATTTATCATCAAATGCAGCACTGACAGAAGGCAGCAAAGGACAGAATCCTCCATAGGCAAAACGTGTATTAAATACTAGTGAGAATTTCCAGGAAAGCAACATAAACCCTTACAAGAAAATTTATAAGAACCCATGTATGTATAAAATAGAAGTAACTTTTGGTAGAGAAAAAATGTAGTTCAGAAGAAAAAAAAAATGGAGAACCTGTTACTGAATCCATCATCTTTGTTAATACATTTCATATACATGTTTTCTAAGTTTGGTAATGACCACAAGAGTATTTTGACCTGATTACTTTACTCCACAAATTTTAAGACAGACATTTCATGGCTGTAATAACATGACTGATCTATGAATTATTCCATACACCATTTAAATGGAACAAGAAAAACAGACTCCAAGTTAAGTCTCAGTAGTATCAATAACGTTTTCGTGCCTAACTGCTAATCCTTTAATTTCCAGTTCTTCAGCTAAGTGATTGTCAGCCAACTAGGAAGAGACATTTGCTATTTGTGTATGCATAATATATGTTCACATATGTACACATACCTCTGTTTTCAAAGACAAAGCTATGTTTCTAGTCCACCAAAAAGAAATCCTGATCGGTTTGCATGCTTTGTTTGCTGTAAACTGGCAAATTTAGCATGTATCACAAGTAATCAGGCAGCAAATTAGGATAAAAAGCGTGGATTAAGACCTGAGGGATATGGATGTAGGGCACTCAAAAACTTCAAGGCTGAGGTGTTCTCTTTAAAGAGTGTTAGTGCAAGAGCTCTCACTTGATGTCTTTCTCAAAAGATATTTCTTCTTGGATAAAAAGAGAGTTTTCTGCAGGGACAAGGGAACAGGGCCACACCAATGTTTTAAGATCTGTTTAGAAATAAATTAATCAATCTTATTTTTAGTTAGGAGTCTTTCATAGCCCTCAGAATTACATGTGCATTCAGCTCTAAAAAATGCTTGAATAATTTGTTATAAACTTAACTGGTAACAATGCTGAATTCCACCCCTTATTCTGGTGAAGGATGCAGTTCTGGTAAAAGTAAACAGCAGCACTAGCTTAACACCTCAGACAGAACTGCAACGATTTTGGAAGCAGCTTTTTTTATTCATTCATCTATTCCAAAATGGGTAATCAGACCTTTTTCCTCACAGACTAGGAACATTATTTGTGGTACTGGAATAGGAAAGAATACATTAAGTGCTGACAATCTTCAGAAGGATTTAAAAAATAAGACGACAAACAACCCACACAGTCTTACCATGACTAAATGTGGTCTCTTAAAATATGCCTGACACTAGAATTAAGTATCTGTAAAATTGGGCAACAAGAAGTCAACCTCAAAATTACAGATCCATAGAAGTTATGGTTGGAAAAGACACAGTAGGTCATCCAGCCCAGGCCATTTCCAAAACATTATAGTTCTCAAGACGTTCATGTCATAAAATGCTTGAGAAGCTCTCCAGTCACACTCCTGTGAAAAGAAGGAAATTTCTTATGGGTTACGAATATGGAAGCCACTGCATTTTCAGTAAATCTTATCAACAAGTTTGTATTCATCAGATCACAGAATAATTTAGGCCAGAATTCAGGGCAGCGGGTCATCCAATCCAAGCTCAAATCAGGGTCAGCACTGCATTCAGATCAGGTTGTTCAAGCCTTTCTTCTCTATGACTGATAACATTGCATGATGAACGTATTCAAACACAGACAGATGCACATATCTAAGATACCTGCAAGCTTTCCTACAGAAAACACAGTCACCAAAACCTGACCATCAGCTTAACATAGGCCACAAGAACTTTTGTGAAATGCATCTACCTAACAGACATACCAAAATCCTTGGCCAGAACTGTAGACACCAAAAAGCCAAGATAAATATGAGTTTTAAAAATAAAACAACAATAACATAAAAGTCATCATTTAAGAAGCATATATACTGGCAAAAGAAAACCACAAAAAAAAACCCAACAATAAAAATAAAACTTCTATTCCTCACTTTACTCCTCCTTGACATCTCAGCACTAAAAGCAATCTGTTTAATAACACTTAGACAACAAAGAGAGGAATACTTTTCATCCATTATGGCCAGGAATTCGGTGTCATTAAAAACTACATAAACATTACTTAAGATCGTTGTCAAAACAAAAGTAAACAACAGCTATTGGTAGATATTGTTTTGGGTTTTGCTTGTTTTGTTTGTTTTTGAGAGTGAGGAATTCTAACTTCCCTTCCCAGCAGTAAATCTAAACTTTTCTAGTGTATCTGTCAGGTATTAATTTAAAAAAATGTTAGCTGTAATGAGGGACTGAAATGTAGGTGATTTTTCTTCCTTTCCCCCCTCAGAAACAATGAAAAAATATGATGCAGCAATTCTCAATCCTTCAAACCAATGGCGAGTTCAATCCTTTTAGTGTTTTATTATTGTAACTTCCAATTCAGCAATTTGCCTCATAACAGCATCTTGTATCCAATTAAAAAAAAAAAAAAAATCTTCTACAGACTTTTTTTTTTAATTATTA